AATAGAGAAGGCAAAGGAATTCCAGACTATAGAAACCCCATTGGCCGAATCACCTTAATAACAGCAATTAGATCTCTTACAATTCTCCATTTCTTTTATTTATTTATAATTTATTATATAATATTCTGCCTGCACATATCCCTGTGGGCCAGAAGAGGGCACCAGATCTCATTACAGGTGGTCATGGGCCACAATGTGGTTGCTGGGAATTGAACTCAGGACCTTTGAAAGAGCAGCCAGTGGTCTTATCCTTTGAGCCATCTCGCCAGTTCCCCCATATTTCTTTCTAATAATAAATACAGGAGAATTCAAAGGGCTGGTTGATTCTTCAATATGCTGAGCATTTAGCTGTTCCTGTACCAACTGCTCTAAAGTTGCAGTTTCTGTACCAACTGTTTTAAGGCTTGTAGTTTCTGTTCTTAAAGGCCATTGCTTAACCCATGCAGGTTTGTCTGTCAACTATTTTAAAGGTAGGGCTGTTGGTGCCTTTGAAAGATCAGCAGCTGCTATGCCCTGTTGTACAACCTGAATGGTCAGTGACTATTCTTTATAATACCGTCTAATATTTTTCCCAGAAACATATGTTAATTATGGTTTGTTTCTAAGATTGGGGGAATGTTAATCTGAGTATTCCATTGCTGTAACAAATCACATTCCCACAAATTCATTTATATGTTAGCCATATATGGTTTTAATATTCCTCTCTGTTCTTTTGGCCCTACATATTCAATCCATCTTGTGCTGTTTTACTTAGGTAATGTTCCAATCCCTAAAAGGTGAACATTTACCTCCGGAAGAGGCCAATTTGGATGCCAAGATTCTGGTGCAATTATTGTTACAGCCACACCTGTGTCTATAAGATCTTCAAAGATGTCATTTATTCATATTTTTAATTTTGGTCTTTGTTCATTTATAGAAATTTGCCAAAATATTTACTTTACGGTTTCTCCTCAATTTGTTGTTCTCTCTTCTTTTCTAGCATCCAAAGCAGTATGGTTTCTTACAATAGGCATTAGGTTCTTTAATTGTTCTGGGAAGGAGTTTCTTCCATGATGACAAGAAATGACTGAATCAGAATTGGCATGGGAGACTGGGAGAGACCTCTCAAGGCATTTCTGGTGGCAAGGCATTTCTGGTCCCTTGTTGATACACATTCATTAGTCCAATGCCTACCCTTACCACACCTCTGCATAATCCAGAACATCTAAAAGGGGTGTTCCATTTGGATTATGCTTAGAAAAAACATTGTTTCTGGGAACACTCTGTTTACAATCTCTTTTTACATAATCTTGTTTATTGCAATTGAAATACTTGATATTTTGATTTTTCTTAAAACCTCTGGAAATCACCTCTCCTATCCAACATCATCATGGTTATGAGATGAGATTCAATATTCATTGTATCTTAGATCTATTCCTCCAAGGGTGCTGATCTTGCCTTTAATGGCCTAATTAATTACCCTTTTACATTGTGCATTGGCATTTTCAAAAACCAGAGATTCAATTATTATTTGTCTATCTTCTGAATTTGGTATCATTCTATTTATTGCGAAAGCCAACCTTTCTAAGAAATCTGTAAAAGTTTCTCCATATGGAGTTTGCTTTCCTTGCCTATACTGCTGACAGTATGCTGTCAAACCTCAACATGCAGGACATAAAAGAAGGTGACAGTGGAACTTTGTCAAGACAAGGTAGTATAGTCCTTCAGAATTCCTGCCTCACAGAACAGTCTGTCACATATTCTAGGATGATGCCCCACTGTTGCTGAGGAACCTTTGGTAACGTTGGAGAAGCAAGCGGTCTCTGTCATTTCTTTAGTTTGGGAAGTTGTTTGCTCTGCACTTCCTGTTTACTTAAGTTGAAGGCTAGACAGTTATACCATTTCCTTTGTTATAAATTTCAGAAAAGAAACTTAAAACAAACATGTAAAGTTTATAAATTAAGACACATAAAAGCTTCAGTTGTTTATCTAATAAAACATTTTAAAATCTAAGTAGATATGTTTAGGATGGTAATCCAAGTTATGATAGGAAATGGTTTGGTTATAAAACTTTGGACTCATAAAGATAGAATAGATAATAGAGTAATTTCTCTGAATTTACCAAATACAAATGAACTAGATATTATGAATTTAATTCTTACTTGACAATTGTTCTTATTGTATATAGTTTTGCTGTGTTAGTGTTAAAACATTTCCCTTTTATTTAGACAAAAAGGGGATAATATTTCAGGATTTTTGATCATACTGTGAATCCTGAGTTTGCATTTGTGTTACTAAAATCAGTCCTGAGTCAGGAGGCCATGTTAGCAACTTGTTGACATCAAGTAATCATAGAGTCAGAGGGTAGCTTTAAGACAATAGAGAGATACACAGGAAGTAGTAGGTAGGAACTTGTGTGGCATGCATGGGTTGTTTTTCTTTTACTGGAGCAGAAAGATGTTCTCTTTTGGAGACACTGGCAAAGAGAGAAGGTCGGCTAGTTGTTACTCAACCTCTCTGAGCTAGCATGTTTTCATCCCTGCCTTTGACTCCTGAGTCTTCCTGGTAAGTAGCATAACAGAAATTTAATTAAAAGTTATATTCGGCAGTAGTGAAATAGTCAGTGCCTGCAGAAACAGAATTTCCTCCAAGCCGCAGCCTGAGTGGCCGGCCACTCAAGAGAAGCAGCCCAGTAACTGTGGAGCTGCAATTGCGATCTGCAACAGCAGCAGAAGTGAAGTGAAGCCTCTGTGCTGATGGAAAACAACAACTGCACTGGGGTGCAGAATGGTAGCAGAGGACTTGCTTAGCATGTATGAAACACTGTGTTTGGTCACAGTATTAAAAATAATGGACAATAACAAGTCCTTATAAAAATTCTGGAGAAAGCAGGATCCTCATATATCACTACTGGGAAGCAGAAGACTACAGTTGCTTTAGAAAACAGCACTGCACTCTCTTAGAAAGTAAAAACATGGTGGGGGTACTAGAAAGATGGCTCAGCACTTAAGAACACTGGCTACTATTCCAGAGGACCCAGATTTGACTCCCGGCAACCACATGTAGCTCATAACCACATATAACTCAAGTTCCAGGGGAACTGATGCCCTCTTCTGGCCTCCACAAGCAACAGGCACAAAAGAGGTGCACAGACATACATGCAGACAAAACATCCATGCACATAAAATAAACATTTTTTAAATGTTAAACATAGATACAGTGAGATGGCTAAGTGAATAAAGGCTGCTCTGCCATGAAAGCATGATGACCTGATTTTGATGCTTTGAATCCATATAAAAGTCAGAATTAACTCTATAAATTTGTCCTCTGGCATCTGCACCCTGGCCATGGTGTCTGTGACACACATGCATGCATGTGCGCGCGCGCGCACACACACACACACACACACACACACACACACACACAAAATATCCACAATAATATTTTTTTCATAGTGATATTTTCTAAGTTAAACAAATAAACTACTTAAAATTAAACCCATGGCTTAACAATTCCATCCTTATTTACTCAACAGAACCAACTCCATGAAGTTGTTTTCTGCATGACATGGTGAGTTCTGCTCCCTTCCCCACATTATATACACACACATTAATAAACAATGTTTTAAAAGTTAAATATAGAATACATAAAATTAAACATCAGACCCAGTAATTCTATTCCTATTTACCTAACAAATGAAGATACAGATCCATAAAAGACACACACAGAGCTGACAAGATGGCACAATGGATAAAGGTGTTTGCCCCCAAACCTGACGACCTAAATTCAATTCACCATTTGGAATCAAATGGTGAAAGAGCTCCACTCTCAAAAGTTGTCCTCTGATCTCCACTTGCATGCCACAGCACACACATGCTCCACATACACACATACATGATTTTTAACAAATATTATTAAAACACACACACACACACAGGAACTGGAAAGATGACTCAGGGGTAAAGAACACTATCTGCTCTTCCAGAGGACCTGGGTTTGATTCCCAGCACCCACCTGACTGCTCACAATTGTCTGTAACTCCTGTCCTAGAGAATCCAACATCCTTTCCTTGCCTCTTCAGGCACTGTACATACATGTAGGCAAAATACCCACATATATAAAAGTAAACAAATTTTAAAGAAGCACAAACATAAATATCCATAGCAGAGCTAAATATTTAACTCAATAGTAGAGGACTTGCCTAGATTAGCATGTACAAAGCCCTGGGTTCAATCCCCAATACTACACATGCATACACACACACACACACACAAACACACACACACAAATCTAAGTATTATATGTAGATACATACAGGGCAACATACTTGACAATAAAATACATACTGGCATGCAATGCCATGGATAAACTTTGAAAACCTAAAATATTATTAAAGTAAAAGAAACCAGACACAAAATCATGAGTCTAAGAGGCAGGCGTTTCTCTGTGAGTTCGAGACCAGCCTGGTCTACAAGAGCTAGTTCCAGGACAGGCTCCAAAACTACAGAGAAACCCTGTCTCGAAAAACCAAAAAAAAAAAAAAAAAATCATGAGTCTATTTACACAAGATGCTCAGAATTGGCGAACTCACAAACAAATGTGACCATGGGCTGTGAATGAAGAGGAAAGGGGAGTGACTGTCACTACACATGCATGGTTTGGTTCAGTTTTGCTGTTCTTTTTAATAGGTGACGAAAACATTTTTCTAGTTTAAACTTGTATAACAGACAACTGACATAACCATGTGGTTAGGTTTTATTAATAGTTAAAATTAATATTTATTTTATAGGTATGAGTATTTTGTCTGCATGTATGTATGGATACCACATGCATGCTAGTGCTAGGATCTCCTGGACCTGGAGTTATGGATGGTTATGAGCCACCATGGGGGTGCTGGGAACCAAACCCAGGCCCACTGCAAGAGCAACAGGCACCAAACCATCTCTCCAGCCCCATACTTACACCTTTGCAACCATACCTGCTAATTTTTTCTCTCTGAAAACCAGGGGTGTATCACTCACCTGGTCTGGCTTTTGGTCCTTCACCACCAGTTCATTCCCTTCCCCATCACAATCATCAGAGGATTGTCTGGGAAGCAGACTTTCAGGCTGATCACTGGACTTGGTATCACCCCGGAATCTCTCCTTCCTGTCTTGAGAAATACTGAATTGACTGTCTACTTCATCAGAGGCATCCGACTGTCTTGGTTGAGTCTCCTGAACTATATCATCATTTGCTGAGTTCCTCCTTTCTGCAGGCAAGATATCGATATTTATTCTACTGATTGTAGCAAATGACTCTGCCGTATTGTTCATGACGGGTTTGCCACTGTGGCCTTTGAGGCTAGCAGGTGACTTCAAGGGATCAATGGCCACTGATTTCTCTTGGGACAAACACTTATCTTCACCCTGGGTAAAAGATGTTCTGAAGTTATTACAGTAACTCATATTGTATACAAAAATTAACTCTAAATGGAACAGCAGTTTCCTCAAGAAGTTAAACAGAATTATTCAATTCTACTTTTTGTCATGCACTATATTTTTACTAAATTATATGATCATTGGTGCTTTGCCTGCATGTATGTCTGTGTGAGGTGTCAGAAACTTTGGAACTGAAGTTACAGACAGATGTGAGCTGCCATATGAGTACTGAGAACTGAACCGGTCTTTGGAAGAACAGCCAGTGCTCTTAACTACTGAGAAATATCCCCAGCCCCAAGATGTGCACTTTAAAAAAAATAAAGAAAGAAAGAACTCAAGAAAGTATACGGGCCAATGACTCTAGTATCGTTATTTAAAAGGGTGTGCATAGTGGCACTCACCTGGAATCCCACCATCCAGATGAGAAAGGGGGACAGTCATGATTTGAGACCAGTCTGAGGACAGTGAGTTCCAAGCTACCCAGGGCTAAACAGCAAGACTGTATTTTTTTTTTTTTTTAAAAAGGAATGCTGGATGTGATAGCACATGTCTTTAATCCAACACTTGGGAGGCAGAGGTGAGTCTGGCCTAAGTACTGAGTTCCAAGACAGAGATAAATCATACAGATCCTGTCTCATAAGAAAAGAAAGAAAGAGAGAGAGAGAGAGAGAGAGAGAGAGAGAGAGAGAGAGAGAGAAGAAAAAGGTAGAAACAACCCAAATTCCCCAGAAAATCAATAGATAAAACGTGGTCTATACATAAGACGGCTTCTATGAGCACACACATGCCATGTACTCACACAAACATATATAGACACATCAACCTTTTTAAAGGGAGGGGATGGCATTTTAACATGTGCTATAAAACAAAACGCTAAGTGAAAAAGCCAGATAAAAATAATATTGTATACAGCTGCACACTGGTGGTGCATGCCTTTAATCCCAGCACTGGGAAAGCAGAGATAGGTGGATCTCTGAATTCAAGGTCAGTCTGGTTTACAGAATAAGTTCCAGGACAGCCAGCCAGAGCTACACAGAGAAAAACTAAATATGTTTATATATGTGTATGTGTAGTATGATTCTATTTATATAAACTGTCTAAAGCAGAAAACTTCATTGGTATAGAAAACAGAGATGGGGTGATAGAGAGTCACAGCTTGAATAAGTAAGGAGTTTCAGTTTTATATAATGGAATAATTTCTGAGGACAGTGATGATGGATATGTCACAACATTGTAAATATAAGCCAGGACACTGGATATTCTGCTTAAGAGCTGTTAAAATACGGAGTGTCAAGACAGCTCAGCTAATAAGGGCATTTACTGTCAAGCCTGATGACCTGGGTATGACCCGTTGGAACCTACATGGTAGAAAGAGAACACACTCCTACAAATTCTTTTCTTCCCTTCCTTCCCCATCTCACTTTCTCTCTTACACATACCCCAAAATAAATGAATAAATAGATGAACAAATGAATGGATGAACTAAAGAAATGCTTCTCAAGGTCTGGGCACACAGTTCAGAGAAAGAGCCTCTGCCTACCATGCACAAGGCTGTGGGTGAAAACCTTAGCATTGGTGGGGATACTGTTTAAAAATGAAGAAAAAAGCACATGATCATGTCAATAGTTGCAGAAAATCCTCTGACAAAACTCAATACCCTTACATGATGTGGAAAAACCAGCTAGGACTAATGGATACTAAGACAGTAAGGCCATGTGTGGAAATCCCACGTTACACTTAGTGACAAACTCTAAATGCCTTCCCTTCCAGATCAGAAACAAAGTGAAGGCCTACTCCCATTGCCTGCTCTCAACATAATACTGTATGTTGTAGCCAGAGCAGTTAGACAAGAAAAACAATGAGGCATCTGCATTAAATGAATACAGAAAATATCTATCTGATCTCTCTCTCTCTCTCTCTCTCTCTCTCTCTCTCTCTCTCTCTCTCTCACACAGACACACACACACACACACACTCATATACACACCTACCTATCTACCTAGTGGAACTAATAAATAAATTTAACAAAGTTTTTTTTCTAAGATAGGGTTTCCCTGTGTAGTCCTGGCTGTCCTGAAACTCCCTCTGTAGATCAGGCTGATTTTAAACTCACAGAGATCCACCTGCCTCTGCATCCCACATGCTAGGATTAAAGGTGTGCACCACCATGCTTGACTGATATTATTATAATACTTACTAATAAAATTTGAACAGATTCAACACAATGCCCATCAAAATCCCAGCAAAATTCTTCAAAGACGTCGAAAGAACGGTACTCAACTTCATATGGAAAAGCAAAAAACCCAGGATAGCCAAAACAATCCTGTACAATAAAAGAACTTCTGGAGGCATCACAATCCCTGACTTCAAACTCTACTACAGAGCTACAGTACTGAAAACAGCCTGGTATTGGCATAAGAACAAACAGGAGGACCAATGGAACTGAATAGAAGCATGGGGACTTTGGGGGAAGGGTTGAAGGGGGGAGGGGAGCAGAGAAAAATGTAGAGCTCAATAAATATCAATAAAATAAAAAAAGAAAAAAATAAAAAATGAACCATCAAGACAGGAAGTAATATTTCTTGGTGAGAACATGAAGAAATTGGAAATGCAGAATGATACAGTCTGTGGAAAACTGTGTGGTGCATCAAGAGGCTAAACACAGAAATTATCACTTGGCCTAGCTTTTACATACAGGTAGACAGCACAAAAAGCTGAGAGCAGGTTCAAGCCCTAGATCTAAATGTTCACAGCAAGACCCAACAGGTGAAAAGAATCCAAATGTCTTCTAATAGATGAGAGGATAAACCAACGTGATTTACTATTCAGACCTAAAAGAAGTGAAGTCTTGGTATATGCTACATGGATAAACATTTAAAACATAATTGCTCAGATATAAAAGGCCACCTGCTGTATGATTCCATTTATATGAAATATTCAGGAAAGGGAAATCCATAGAGAAAGAAAACACATTGGTGTTTGGCAAGGTAGAGAAGGCCGGAAAGAAGACAGTTCAATGTGTGAAGAGCTTCCTTTTGATGATAAAATATTTTAGAGCTGAAAAAAGGTGATCATTGCAATTCGTGGGTGTGCTAAGTGCCCATAATTGTCCACAGGCTTCTGTGGCACTACAGAGATGGCACTGCAGCTGATGCTTGTGTGCAGTCGTGAGGACCACGGGGTGCATCCCAACATCACATACCAAGCCAGGCATCCAAATCATGCTTGTAACTTCAGCTCTAAAGGATTCAACGCCCTATTCTGGCCCTCACAAACACAGATGTTACACTCTCACACACATGGGAATACACTCATATAGACACACACACACACACCCCACATGAATATTTTAAAATAGTTTTTATGCAAATTTTACCTTAAGATAAAAACTTACTGTATTGACTTTGTGAACAGTTTGACAGTCTACTGTAGATAAAGTGAGAAACAAGGCTGACCCTCTCCAGTATGCTTTCTTTAAAATTGGAAGTAACTATATAATGAATCTCTAGCAAAGCACAGACACTGACACATGACTTAAATGTTGGTGTGAATGGCCTGTGGTTCACACAGTTCTTAAAGCATTGGCCCAGGGAGCATACCATGGCGTGTGCAGTGGAGCCCTCACAAGAGCAGGGCTGGGAGTGCATCATTTCATGGTCCGGTTCTTCCCTTCTGGAAACTACAGCAGCTACAGGCTTGGCTCTGGAGTCACAGTTTTTAATGTTATTTTTGGAAGTTTTTCTTTGCAGGGAAGAAAAGAAAGTACTATTATCAACACAGTGATGACTGACAGTTTGAAAAAATATGTGAAATATGTGTCTACAATAAAACTACATCATTTTACAGAAGTTAGTCAAAACCTAGAAGGCATTTTCTAAAATCTTTGTCTTCAAGATAATCAAGATTACAGCAGAGCAGTGGTGGCACACGCTTTTTTTTTGTATAATTTTTTTATTGATATTTATTGAGCTCTACATTTTTCTCTGCTGCCCTCCCTGCCTCTCCCCCCCCTTCAACCCTCCCCCAAGGTCTCTATGCTCCCAGTTTACTCAGGAGATCTTGTCTTTTTCTACTTTCTACTTCCCATATAGATTATATCTATGTAAGTCTCTCTTCGTGTCCTCATTGTTGCCTAAATTCTCTGGGATTGTGGTTTGTAGGCTGGCTTTCTTTATGTTTAAAAACCACCTATGAGTGAGTACATGTGATAATTGTCTTTCTGTGTCTGGGTTACCTCACTCAAAATAATGTTTTCTAGCTCCATCCATTTTTCTACAAAATTCAAGCTGTCGTTATTTTTTCTGCTGTGTAGTACTCCATTGTGTAAATGTACCACATTTGGCACACACCTTTAATCCCAGCACTTGGAGGCAGAGGCAGGTGGGTCTCTGTGAGTTTGGTCTATAGAGTGAGTTCTAGAACAGCCAAGGCTACACAGAGAAACCCTGTCTCAAGAAATGGGGGAAAAAAAAAAGGAAGGAAGGAAGGAAGGAAGGAAGGAAGGAAGGAAGGAAAGAAAGAAAGAAAGAAAGAAAGAAAGAAAGAAAGAAAGAAAGAAAGAAAGAAAGAAAGAAAGAAAGAAAGAAACAGAGAGAAGGAAAAAGCAATGCTGGGCTGGAGTGAAGTGGCGTACATGTCTATACATGTCTACAATTCCACAATTCCAGCACTTAGGACACCGCAGCAGGACACCAAGAGTCCAAGTTCTTGGCTACACAGCAAGACCTTATCTCAAAAGGAAAAACTGTTCATCCCCGGAGCATCGCTAACATTGCCTCCTTCCTCCCAAAGTTATCTTGCCATAGGCAGAACTAAGCTAACAAGACTGTGATAGTCTTGTCTGATTCTAAGTCTTAGATGCTGAAATATCAATTTGCTAAAAGTAAGACCTATGGTCAAAAAAAGAAATTCCTTTTCTCTTGAAGTTAGAATGAAGCGAAAACCTTCGAACGCTCAGAAATTTGAGCACCATTTTTCTTACATGGTGAAAAATTAATAGTACCTCTCTAAACAATTAAAAAATCACATATATTCTAACTATCAATGGGTCAAGGAAGAAATAAAAGACTTCCTAAAATCCAATGAAAATGACCACACAACATACCCTAATTTATGGGACACAATGAAAGCAGTGCTAAGAGGAAAGTTCAAAACTCGGCCTTCTCTGCCTTGTTTTGTTTTTATTTTAGTCTTTTTACTGGAAACAACCTAACAAACACATCAAGAGATATGATTCTACAAATTATCTGGAAATCTGCTTGTCCAGTTTAATTCAAATATGGAATTAGCCTTCTTTCTATTTGATGCATGTGTATGTATATATATATATATAATATTGTTCTGTGTGCTATATAAAATTCTATTTTTTATAGTACTATAATAAACATGTCTAATAGCTATACATTACTATAATAACCACACTGAACCTCATAGAAGAGGAAGTGGGAAGTACACTTGAACACATGGGCACAGGAGACTACTTCCTACATATAACCCCATCAGCATAGACTCTGAGAAAAACAATAAATGGGACTCCCTGAAACCGAGAAGCTTCTGTAAAGCAAAGGACACTGTTAATAAGACAAAACAACAGCCTATAGAATCGGAAAAAAATCTGCACCAACTCCACATTGGACAGAGGGCTGATCTCTACAACATACAAAGAATTCAATTAATTGGTCACCAAAAGAACAAATAATCCAGTTAAAAAATGGGGTACAGACCTAAAAAGATAACTCTCAACAGAGGAATCTAAATGACTGAAAGACACTTAAGGAAATGCTCAACATCCTTAGCTACTAGAGAAATGCAAATCAAAACAACTCTGAGAATCTATCTTACACCTGTTCTCAACTATGTTCATAGCAGCATTATTTGTCATAGCCAGAACCTGGGAACAACCTAAATGCCCCTTGACCAAAGAATGCATAAGGGAAAATGTGGTACATTTACACAATGGAGTAGTTAGTACACAGCAGGAAAAAATAATGACATCTTGAAATTTGCGGGCAAATGGATGAATCTAGAAAACATCATATTGAGTGAGGTAACCCAGACTCAGAAAGACAAATTTCATATGTACTCACTCATAAGTGGCTTTTAGACATAAAGCAAAGAAAAGCAGCCTACAATTTATAATCCCAAAGAACCTAGACAACAATGAGGACCCTAATATACATGGATCTAATCTACATGGGAAGTAGAAAAGACAAGATCTCCTGAGTAAATTGGGAACATGAAAACCATGGGAGAGGGTGGGAAGGGAAGAGAGAGGAAGGGAGGGGAGCAGAGAAAAATAGATATCTCATAAAAACAATTTTTAAAAAAATCACATATATTCATGTCTTTGTGTGCACCCATGTGGAGATCAGAGGACGACTTGTAAGAGCTGCTTCTCTTTACACTATGTGGATCCTGGGGACTGAACTCAGGTTCTCAAGATTGGTGGCAAGTGCCTTTGCCTGCTAAACTACCTCACCAGTCCCTCTAAATGGTTCTCCATGTTTTTTATTTCAATAGTTCTGCCAATTTTAGTATTTGCTGTGGTTTGCTTCTATGATTCAGGGCTTTGCATACACAGGGCAAGTACTCCACTACCGAGCTACATGTTCAGCTCATTTGAATTCTACGACAAGCTTTCACTAAGTAGTCCTGGGTGGCTCACTCTCTAACTTGGGCAGGCTTTGCTTTTGTGATCCTGAGTAGCTGGGATCCCGTGCCACTAGCCCAGATTAACATGTATGTGAAAGGTGCCAGAATATGCCGCTCTAAGAAATGTAACTTTGCTGGACAGGGATGGTGCACATCTTTAATCCCAACATTATGGAGGCAGAGGCAGAGGAATTTCCTTGAGTTTGAGGCCAGCCTGGTCTACACAGCAAGTTCCAGGGACAGCCAGTGCTGTTACACAGAGAAATCCTGTCTCAAAACAAAACAAAACAAAACAAACAAAAAACCCAAACAAGTAAGAGTAAGATGAAGAAGAATTAAAAAGATAAAAAATGGAAAGCTGAGGTGAACATAAATCTGCAGATCTTAGTAAAATAATCCTAATTTTCTGTTACTTCCCACAGAGGTTCTTTTTCACAGTTCCCTTTCCTGCCAGCCTACCACAGCTCCATTAGGGTTCACTGCTTCAAGCTTTCAAGTAATAAAACTTCATTCTACTACAAAACATAAAACTCTGGCAGATCTCTGCAAGTTCGAGACCAGCCTGGTCTACAGAGCTAGTTCCAGGACAGGCTCCAAAGCCACAGAGAAACCCTTCTCGAAAAAAAAAAAAAAAACCCAAAAACTCTTATTTAATAGATTTTGCTACTTTTCTATACAAGTTAAATTTTGAGGCCCATACCAAAAAAATAAATAAATAAAAGAAGGTAGAATTCTGTCCTCTTATGTATTCTAATTATGCAGTTTTACTTTTTGTCAAAAAAAAACTCACTATAAATTTTATATATGAAAATCTAGAAGCTACCCTCTTTTGCCCCATCAGTGTAGTCCAGCTTTCTGTAAGGGAAGTATCTTACGCCTTTGTGGCCTCCAAAAATAAGGATATTTGGTGTTTTATATAAGGCTGCCTCAGGATGCTCCGCACAGAGGGTCTCTCTTCAGGTCTCCTGCTCAGCATTGTTCGGATCAGCTCTGCCAGCTCTGAGCTATAAACTTTTGGCATTGGTGGCAACTGCAAAGAATAACAATTCTATAATTATGATTAATGACATTATGATACAAAGCAAAAACTGGCAGGGGTTTCCCAATACTGAAAAAGCATTAAAATATATAAAACTATTAACATTTATTATTTATGTAAAGTCATGTATCTGCAAAAGTAGAAAACAGCTAGCTAGTTTATGTGTCTGTTCTGGTTATAATAGCGAGCTGTAAGAATACAACAGCATTCACCTCAGCTCAGCAGTCCTGTCTGAAGACTCTGTCCTTCAGAGAGAAACACAAGTTTCTTTTTCAAGTTTTATTTATTATTAGTATATGAGTATGTGTGCATTAATGGTCATGCACACATTCAAGCCAAGGACAACTTTTGAGAGTTGGTTCTCTCCTCCCACCCTCAGTTCTAGAATCAAACCCATGTCATTAGGCCTGTGCTGCAAGCATCTTTACCCATTGAGTTATTCCTTTAGCCCAAGAGCACAAATAAGTTTCATACACCAGAATATTCAGAGCAGTATTGGTCTTGCAGTAATTAGAAATAAAGTGCTCAAGTACAGAGGATTTAGAAGTAAGTTGTGCCACTGGGGTAGTCTGAATGTAATTGGCCCCCATAATCTCATAGGGAGTGGCACTTTTGGGAGCTGTGGCTTTGTTAGAGTGGGTGTGGCCTTGTTGGAGGAAGTGTGTCACTGTGGGGGCGGGCTTCAAGGTTCCCTAGGCTTAGAAAACCACCCAGTGTCTCAGTAGACTTCCTGCTGCCTGCAAGTCAAGATGTAGCCAGTACCACATCTACCAGCATGACACCATGCTCCCTGTGATGATAATGAACTGAACCTCTGAAACTGTAAGCAAGCTACCCCAATTAAATGTTTTCTTTATAAGAGTTGCTGTGGTCATGGTGTCTCTTCATACCAACATGTTTCCCATAAACACTAGGCAGCTGCTTCAAAGTAGAAGGCAAATACTGACAGCTAAGCCAAGAATGCAGGCTGGGTCCCACCTCCACGCACAGTGGGACTCCATTTGCTTCTTGTTTAGAGAACTGTGTGTAAGTACATACACACCCAGAGCGCTATCTGTTTCAAAGAAAGAAAAGAGAGGCCTTGGAATAAATTGCTAATCATAGTTACCAAGAAGATGAAAATAGAGAACTTTTTATTCCTTTGTAAAACTGAGTCTTTAAATAGTATGTTGGAAAAAATTTTAAAGAGTTTCTATTTTTATTTTATGTGTATGGGTGTTTTGCCAGCATGCATGTAGATGTTACCACAAGCACAGGATGAGAGAGGTTGAAAGAGGGCATCGAATGCCCTAGGTTCTGCAGTTTCAGGTAGCTGAGAGCTTCTATGTGGCTGAGTGCTAGCATTCTTAAACAATGAGCTACCTCTTCAGCTCTTAAAATTGGAAGATTTTACTTGTGTCCTCTAAAATATTGTCATTGAATCTTTGAATAATCTTTAAGCCACTACAAAGGGCAACCAGCCTCGGGGAAATAACATGAAGGTAGTATTTCTGGCATCCACATTATATTTAATACCTTCTGCAGTTCTCAATCAGTTACTTGCAATTATGACAAGTACCGAAGAGCACATTCTCACAGTATGGAGTCACTGTAAACAGGGCTCACTCAACCCTGGGCTACTGGGAGAGAGCACCTTTGCTTCCTAGAGCACCTATACATCCTGCAGTCAGTAGCAGGGAGACGTTTTCAAACTGCCAGCTCTTTGGAGTCAATCAGCTACCAGTACATTAAATTAAGAGAAAATCAAACACGTCTCAACTTCAACCTTTTTCACAGAAGAGATCCTATATTCCTAATTCGCCAGCTGGGAGAAATGAGTATTAGTTAACCAAAGTCATGAGTGAGGGCTGGGGACGTAGCTCAATGATGGAGTGCTTGCTCCGCATTTGCCCAGGTTGGACCGAGGTAGGATGCATACAACTGTAAAGGTGTGTACTGAAAAAAAAATCAACGATCTTAATAATAGATATTTATAAAGCTGTATGATAGAAATCTTGTCCAATTAATTCTAAAATTTGTTTTACCTTTCCTTCAATAATCCGATAAACTAAGGAATTCATGTCTTTTGCATTAAAAGCGTGCTTCAGGGTGGCCATTTCATAGACACAGCATCCCAAAGCCCAAACATCAGACTACAAAAGAAGAACAGTACATGGTTAAATGTTGAATAGCTTATTCACATTTTCCCCTCAAAACAAAGCATACACTTTCTTCCAAATGATTCATAGTTAATTCTGTTATCACTATTCGTATGGGCTCTGAAATTCTGATGTGTTCCCAGAGACAAGATCAGGCAATGCACACTTTTGCAGCTGTATGCATCCTACCTTATAGTTGTAGGGTTGGTTTGAGAACAACTCAGGGCTCATATAATAGGGAGTGCCAATGAGGGTGCTTGCCATGTCGCTGTGGTGCTCCAACACTCGGGCAATGCCCAGGTCGCCCACCTTGATGATGTTTGTTCTTGTTAAGAAGACATTCTGAGTTTTCAGATCTCGATGAAGGATGTGCTTCTCGTGTAAATACTGAGAAGAGGAAACGTTTTCATCTTATGTAAGTATACTAATTTATTTTCTCATTTCTAGTTTTTTATATATATCACCAATAATTACTTGAGTTAAAGAGTCTTAGCTATCTGCCAACCAAAACATTACTGTTCTAGAAGCTCTAAAAGAACTACTTTAAAACTTTCAAAGTGAGAAAAGTGAGTTCCAGGGGCTGAAGACAGCTCAGCTGGCAAAGTGCTTGCCACACAGCCTGAGACCCTGACTTTGGATCAGCAGCACTCTGTCAACAGCCAGGCATGCTGGCACATTCCTAGCCCTGGGGAGGCAAAGACCAGAGGATCTCTGGAGCTCACTGCTGTGTAAGTGCATTTCATGGTCAATGAGAGACCCTGTCTAACACTTTCACATCTGGCTTCTACACACATATGTATGTATATGCATGTGCACATATCTATGAATGGGTATACACACACACAAAATTAAGTTCCAAATATTAGTTATATTTGGTACCTGATGTGCTGACAACTGTATCATTCTTTATAATACCTGGATCCATTATAAACCAGGTATGGTGGCACTATTAAGACCAACACTTGGAAGGCTCACAGAGGAGGACTGCTGTGAGTTTGAGATTATCTTGAGCTACGTAGTAAGTTCCAGGCCAGTCTAGACTAAAGTGAATCCTTGTCTCCAAGAAACAAATAAAAACCTACAAAACTACCATTGAAGGTAGAACAACTTATCCAAAGTCAGAGGTGCTCTCCTCTCAGACCTATAAAAACCAGACAACATTTAAAGTACAACAGCATCACTCTTACCTCAAGAGAGCATGTGAAAATTTAAACAAGGTCAGTTAACGGCAGGCAAATAAGCCCAGGGCCTGAGGAATACTTCAAAACCAGTCTCACACTTGCCGGGCGGTGCTTGTGCCCACCTCTAATCCCAACACTCAGGAGGCAGAGACAGGCATGGATCTCTGTGAGTTTGAGACCAGTTTGGTTGACAAGAACTAGTTACAGAACAGCCAGGACTGTTACACAGAGAAACTCTGTCTCAAAATAACCAAAAAACATCAAAACAACAACAACAAAAACAAACAACCCAGTCTCACTCAGGAGATGTGCATTTTAAAACACAAATCTGTTCAGCATTTTTATCCACTGAGCCCCACAGTGTCAGACTATTTATTTATTAACTGACCCAGCCATCTTTCAACATGGCATAGCTGACCAAACAATAAGACACACATCATCCTTTGTTCCCTGTCAATTCAAGGCTCTAAAACTGACTTTGCTATGAATATTAAATGCACACAGAATTGGTATCTCCCGTAATTATATATGAAATTCATGTCATTCACAGCCCATGGGTCTCTAGCCTATCATGTCATCCCTGGCACAGGAAAATACACCTGCTACCTTCCTGCCACACTGGAGCCTATAAGAATCCATGAGCGTGCAGTACCTGCAAAGCCATGGCGATCTGTACAAACCACTCCACCACCTGACTCTCAGGCAGAAGCTGCCCTTTCTGCTCCTTGAGCTTCCGGTACAGATCACCTCCTTCGCAGAAGCCCATGACGATGTAGAGCAGACCATCTCCTCCCTCCCACGACTCTTTGTAGGTGACGATGTTGGGGTGCTTCAGCTGAGACAGGAGCTGAGCTTCCTGCTCCGCAGCTCGGCGCTCGCGGTTGGAGGCATTTCGGAGGTTCAGTGTTTTGATGACATACTGACAAAGAAAATGCATACTTTCACAAGGTGCAAGATAGCAGAGAATTCTCTAGGTTCAGAAGTAGCTGAGAGTTCTCACAGACGTCCAGTCCTCAAAACTAACCACCTGAAGCCTATCAGATAAACCACCAGCTTGATATTCAAGAGGCATAAAATTGCCAGGAGGATACATTGAAGAGGAGATGAATCAAAGAGCAAAATACTGACCTACTGGTGGTGCACGCCTTTAATCCCAGGACTCTGGAGGCAGAGGCAAATTGATCTCTGAGTTCGAGGCCAGCCTGGTCTGCAGAGTGAATTCACGGACAGCAAGGGCTAGCTACACAGAGAAACCTATCTTGAAAAACCAAACCAAAAAAAAAAAAAAAAAAAAAAAAAGCAAGTCAGATGTTGGTGGTGTGCACCACCTTTAGTCCTAGCACTTGGGAGGCAGAGGCGGGAGGACCTCAATGGTCCAGCCTGGACTACAAAGTGAGTTCCAGGACAGCCAGCATTGTTACACAAAGAAATCCCATCTTGAAACCACCCTCCCCCAAAAAGCATAAAACTGCTAAATGGTAATGAACCCAATTAAAAAATGGGGCACTGAACTGAACAGAGAATTCTCAACCGAAGAAGTTCAAATGGCCAAAAGACACTTAAGGTCATGCTCAACCTCCTTAGCGATCAGGGAAATGCAAATCAAAACAACTTTGAGATACCATCTTACACCTTTCAGAATGGCTAAAATCAAAAACACCAATGATAGCCTTTGCTGGAGAGGATGTGGAGTACACTCATCCATTGCTGGTGGGAATGCAAACTTGTGCAACCACTTTGGAAAGCAGTGTGGCGGTTTCTCAGGAAATTTGGGATCAACCTACCCCAGGACCCAGCAATACCACTCTTGGGAATATACCCAAGAGATGCCCTATCATACTACAAAAGCATTTGTTCAACTATGTTCATAGCAGCATTATTTGTAATAGCCAGAACCTGGAAACAACCTAGATGCCCTTCAATGGAAGAATGGATGAAGAAAGTGTGGAATATATACATATTAGAGTACTACTCAGTGGTAAAAAACAATGACATTTTGAATTCTGCATGCAAATGTATGGAAATAGAAAACACTATCCTGAGTGAAGTAAGCCAGACCCAAAAAGATGAACATGGGATGTACTCACACATAATTGGTTTCTAGCCACAAATAAAGGACATTGAGCCTATAATTCAGGTTCTTAGAGAAGCTAAATAAGGAGAACCCAAAGAAAAACATATAGGCATCCTCCTGAATATTAACCTTCATCAGGCGATGAAAGGAGACAGAGACCCACATTGGTGCACCGGACTGAAATCTCAAGGTCCAAATCAGGAGCAGAAGGAGAGAGAGCACGAGCAAGGAACTCAGGACCGCGAGGGGTGCACCCACACACTGAGACAATGGGGATGGTCTATAGGGAACTCACCAAGGCCAGCTGGCCTGGGTCTGAAAAAGCCTGGGTTAAAACCGGTCTCGCTGAACATAGTGGACAATGCGGACTGCTGAGACCTCAAGAACAATGGCAATGGGTTTTTGATCCTACTGCACCTATTGGTTTTGTTGGAGCTTAGGCAGTTTGGATGCTCACCTTACTAGACCTGGATGGAGGTGGGTGGTCCTTGGACTTCCCACAGGGCAGGGAACCCTGATTGCTCTTTGGGCTGACGAGGGAGGGGGACTTGATTGGGGGAGAGGGAGGGAAAGGGGAGGCGGCGGTGGGGAAGAGACAGAAATCTTTAATAAATAAATAAAAAAACAAAAACAAAACCTACAAAAAAATGACTAAAAACCATCCAAGGTAAAATTGGGTATTCATAAGTAAAAAAAAAAAAAACTGGGGGAATTATTTGCCGTTGACAATTATGCCTTTTCCCCCAGTGTTGGGATCAAACCCCAGGCTTGCGCATGCTAGGAAAGTGCTTTACTAATTAGTCCAGCTAATGATATTTTTCTATCATTTTCCCACTCCAGGTCACAAACAAATTACCTTTTCCCTTTGCATTTTACAATTTCTTTGACTCTACAATCCCAGTTACTTTGAAGGCTAAGGCAGAAGGGCTAATTAGGCCCAGAAATTTGAAACCCAACCTGAACATCACAGTGATACCCCAATCTCAAAAAAAGCACAATAATAATAACTAAAAAGCGAATTCAAGATAACATACTATTAGACAAAAAGAAAAGAGATTTAGAAAATCTCTAAATTCTCCCTACAAAAGGCATTAAGATATAGCTTAAATAGGTGTATGAGACACATTAGATACTTGTGACCCAATAAGAAGTATCATTGTTCCTCCATATAGAACATCATTCCCATTTAAAAATAAAGTCCTTTACCTTCTAATATACTATCCTCAATCATCTTATAGATCGATCATATACTCACTCCTTCAATAAATACATACACAAATGTGTTTCCTGAAGTACACAGCACCTGCTCACAATGAACTACTACAGCTAAGCTCTCACTCTTAGCACAGATGTTCCCTAAGTTCGTGCTGTAGGTAGAGAATCTGGCATGCGAGGGGAGAGGGGACTCTCTCAACAACTGGTTTGGTAGTACTGCGAGATGCCACTTTTCAGATTCAAATTTGTCCCCATTTCTGCAATATATCTAACACCCTGATAGCAAATCATATCGAAGAACTGGTTCATTAGCCTTTGGATGATAGGATTAAATACTTTACACAAGGAAGGAGTAGCACCAGATCTGAGCTATAGAAACATCACTGCACCAAAAGGGATGGGTTAGAGAAAAGAAAAGAGGCGACAGGGACACACTAGGAAGGAGTGGGCTATAGTGATAATTTATTTGTGTTTTATAAAGCTTGCCTGAAGATCAGAGGGTAAAACTAAGCCACAAGAGGCCAGGCAGTGGTGGCACACACCTTGAATCCCAGGATTTGGGAGACAGGGGCAGATGGATCTCTGTGAGTTCAAGGCCACCCAGAGCTCACATAAGATCAATGCAGAAACAGATCCAGGTGGTGGTTGCCCATACTTTTAATCTCAATACTAGGGAGTCACATGCGGGATGAGACAGAAATGCGTTCTCCTTCCTTCCTTCCTTCCTTCCTTCCTTCCTTCCTTCCTTCCTTCCTTCCTTCCTTCCTTCCTTCCTTCCTTCCTTCCTTCCTTTCTTTTGGTTTTTTGAGACAGAGTTTCTCTGAAGCTTTGGAACCTGTCCTGGAACTAGCTGTTGTAGATCAGGCTGGCCTCAAATTCAGAGATCCACCTGCCTCTGCCTCTCAAGTGCTGGGATTCAAGGTGTGCACCACCACCACCTGGCTGAGTCTGAGGATTTCTTAGAGGTAAGTGTTCTCTAGTGACTCAGCTGCTTTGCTTTTCTGATCTTCAGGTTAAACCCATATATCTATCTCTGGACTTTTATTAACCATGCTACATTTGACACCTAATGTTTGGGGTACAAAAATCACAAAAAAGCCACTGCCACAGGCTGGAGCTACATGTGGGACTCCAGTTCCACCCGGCTAGGTTTTCCACCCCCACCTTCCCGCCCTCCCAAGTCTCTGACAGAGTTTGAGATTTTTCTGTTGTAGCCTTCAGACAGCCCCTGAAAACACGTGCTTGTTTTCTAACAATCCTCTGTGCAGTTTTTCAGACAGCCACCTCTCTCTCTCCTCCGAGGGTTGTAGGCTCTTCCTCAACCCCTTTCTTGGGTTGCTGCCAAACTAGGAAACTGCTTTCAAATCCAGTCAGGCTTTTACTCTTCTACACAGCAGCAATAAGTCTTATATCTGCATCAACATTGTTGACAGATTTGGTAAGACAATTGGGAATTCTTAAAGGGAGGAATTAGTTAAAAGACAAAGGTTTTCTAAAAAAACGGGAAACCGCATTACAATGGAGGGATTTAGGCCTCTGTATGATAATATGCTAAACAGTCTGAAAGTGGAACGATTAAATGAGATAACTAATTTAGATTGGGTTTATGTCATGTAAATTGTAAACATTATCAGCATTATCATTTTTGTCTCATCACTAAAAAAGTTGGTTAGTCTAAGTGCTAAGACACACGCCTTAGAAAAACCTAATAAAACAGATCACAGAGATGTTCAAATCCAGACAGAGGAATTTAATGGAGAGCCAATTTCAGCATTGTATTATAAGAATAAAAAGGAACATCCTAAAACCTAGAAGGTTGTTTTCAGACAACCAACCTTAGTATATGCAGTAACCTTACAGGAACTGTCAAATGGCAGAGGCTGTTACAGTTAAGGGAACTCCTGTGTCAATGTTAGATTTAAGAGATTCAAGAAAGCAATAGTCTCATAAGGCATGCATTCACCTTCTGTAAAGCAAATGTTAAACTCATGGTCAGTTTGTAATAGAATTATCCCTAAAGACTGGATAGAATTGGTTAAAGGTATTTTAGAGCCTAGACCACAATTATAATGGAGTAACTGGTTTGGAAAAAGAGGCTAAGAATATTGAACAATAGAGATTTATAAGATTAATACATATGTATATGTATTTTAAACTTTTTGTCATGATATTAATGGTCATGTAGAGTATTAACTAATTCTAAAAAAAAAGGTTTCATCTACCTTCCTGTACATGATTTCAGCCTTGAGTCTCTACCAGTTTTGTGCAGTGAACCATGAGCACGCCTAACAGCAACCTTTAAAGTCTCCATAAAGAGGATGGAGCCTCATAACGATGATACATCCAGGACTACGATAACACCACTGAACTGAAAAACACCACCTAAGGATCAGCTTTGGACTACAAACTGCTCAGAACAATTTCAAGGTGGCTAGCCGAGATGATCCAGCCTCGCTGACTACTCTAGCCAGGACTTGAGACAAGCCCTGCACTTTCCCATTACACAGAGACTGGACAGCAGATGATGCAGCTGCCTCTCCCAGGACTTGACAATTAACCCAAAATTTTCTTTTCAGGATCCCTTAAAGATACCATCACCCCCAGATAGCAGAAAGTAAATTTAAGAATATGACACCCACATTCCCAAGAGGTGGAGTGGTTGGTTATTGGTCATTTAAAAGGTTATAGATATTTGTCATTGTTTGGGGGATTGGTTATAAGTTTTTACTGGTTGTAGTCAGGAGGAAAGTTCTTGTTTTGAAAAGAAAAATGGGGAATATAGATATGATAAAATAAAAAGGTGGATTATTGAATCTTTTAAAAAAGCAACTACTAGTTTTAAATGTTTTACATTGAATTGGATTTTATATATTGTATACAAATTTTGTATATTGATACAAACTTCGTATTAATTTTGTTAAAACAGACTGTACATACGTTTCTAATCTTGTTTAAGGTCTTGTACCTATACAGCTCATTTAACAATGTAATGCAAATTTCTAGTCCTTGAAAGTTACTATTACCAACTGTTTACGATAATAAGGAAATTGCAGGTTAGTAGTTAATCACCTAGTATAATCAAACTTGTAGTCACATTAGGTATGTTGTCAAGGTCAAACAAAGATATATTTTAGATAGCCAGGTCATCTTTAAACACTTCAGAGATCTGCAGAACATGGCATTTAAGAGGTTTTAATAACATAGGTTCTTTTTTTTATGACAATAATATGTCTGCTCCTGGCAGCACCAATCTACTTCAGAGAAGATGATGGGCATTGAGGAAACTTCACATGGAGTTTGCGTCCTTTGTGGTAAATGTAAGCCACTGGGCAAGAAAGTGCCCTTGTCTCAATGCTGACAGTACGCTGTCCTCATGGGACAGGCAGGACACAAAAGAGAGTGACTTCCAAACCTTGCCCAGACAAAGTAGGACAGTACTTCAAAAGCCCTGCTTCATAGAAAAGTCTGCAGATATTCTAGGCCTGTAGGCTGAAGATGGATGCCCCAATGCTGCAGAGAAACTTTAGTTCAGGCAACCAGCTGTTTCTGTCCTTTCTCACATTTTTTTGAAAGTCACTTGTTCGTACTTGCTGCTTACACAGTTAATATTATTTCCTTCTTGGGTCTCTAAGGTTGTTGAAGACTAGATAGTTAAAGTCATAGTTTTCATTGTTTATGAGACTCAAAAAAAATCACTAAAAAATGTAAAGTATATAAATTTGAGAGACATCAAAAGACAATTTTGAATGGTAATGCAAGTTATGATAGAAATTAAATTAGGTACAAGACTTTGGACTCACCAAGGTAGGATAGATAGGGCATACTGTCTCTAAATTTGTCAAGTGCAAGTGGACTAGATATTGTTGATATATGTATTGCCTATAGATATTGTATATAGTTAGTTATTGTACTTATTGTATATAGTTTTCTTATATTAGCTATAGCCTTTTTAAATTTCAGACTAAAAGGGGAAACGTAGTTATATTTTATTTATGTTTTATAAATAAAGCTTGCCTGAAGACCAGAAGGTAAAACTAAATCACTAGAGACCAGACGGTGGTGACACATACCTTTAATCCCAGGATTTGGGAGACGTAGGCAGATGGATCTCTGTGAGTTCAAGGCTACCCAGGGCTACACAAGATCAATGTAGAAACAGATCCAGGTGGTGGTGGCTCACACCTTTCATCCTAGTACTAGGGAGTCACACGCTTTTAATCCCGGCACTGGAGAGGAATGTAAAGCGGGATGAGACAGGAACTCGTTCTCTTTCAGTCTGAGGATTTCTTAGAGTTCAGAGCGCTCTAGTGGCTTGGCTGCTTTGCTTTCCTGATCTTCAGGTTGAACCTATATATCTATCTGTCTCTGGACTTTTATTAATCGTGCTACATTGGCTATTTTGCTAGAAAGAATGGTGTTTTATAGTGGGGTAGTACCAATAGAGATGAAGATGCTGGTTTGGTCTAGTGACAGGAATTTAAACAGTGTTAGGAACTTTAAAGATAATTGTCACAAGTCCAGTTTAGGCAGCTGCATGGTTGCTCAAGCTACTCACTGAAATAGGGACCCTGAGAAGCGCTGGTGAAAAAATGAGCAGAGCTTCAAGTACAACAAGCGGCAGGAGAGATGGTGCTTCAGACAGGAGTGAGGCCCCGGGAACGCATGGCCTCTGCTCTCAGGAAATGTTTAGGGGACAGAAGGTTTGCAGATAAGTACACTATTTAATACCACAGAATAGACAAGGTTTGGCACTATCATAGAGGAAGTTGGGAAGCTGGCCTCGTATCTAAGATGAGTCCTTGCCCACCACTCTGGTCCTACTATTTTTGAGGTCGCCCACCGTGCACCCCTTCCCTCCACTCCCTGGCAAGGTCCCAAATCCCCGACCTGCTTGCCGTCGCGCCGATGCTTCACGAGCGTCACCTCCCCGTAACTGCCCCGGCCCACGACCCGCACGTAGCAGTAGGTAGCCTGGGGCATGTTCCCGGAGGTGGCCCACCGTCCGCAAGCTGCGGCAGCGGCGCGAAAAGCGGCGGGAGGCCCCGCTCATGCCCGACAGGAGGTTAAGTCCTCCATAAACTCGGCCCCACAGGGCCAGGAGCTTCGAGGCCCGGCCCACCCGGACGCCGCTACCATAGCAATACAGGCGGTGGAGTCCCGCGCATGCTCAGAATCGGAAGCCCCACCATAGAGCCGACCTAGCCTCAACTAGAGCGACTCCAAAGCCTCGGGAGGACCTACCATTGAGCTGGCACTGGAGCGGCCAGAGCGGTTCCGCAACCTTGGAGGACCTGCCATAGAGCTTCGCCTCCGGGAGGCCACCGCGTCTCAGCTCCTGTGTTTTGGTTCTGCATTTGTTCAATGGTTTTAAGAGCGTTAAGAGTACGAGTCATTCGTTCTATAAATATTAACCGTCAGGCCGGGCGGTGGTGGCGCACGCCTTTAATTCCAGCACTCGAGAGGCAGAGGCAGGCGGATCTCTGTGAGTTCGAGACCAGCCTGGTCTACAAAACCTAGTTCCAGGACAGGCTCCAAAACCACAGAGAAACCCTGTCTCGAAAAACAAACAAACAAACAAAAATTAACCGTCTGGGTGCTTGGCTCACATTGTATTGAAAGAATGGCTGAGTCTAAATTTCACCAATAATGTTTGCTATAATTTTTTTCTTGAATGACAATATTCCTTTTGGTGGATTGAGAAATACGTAAGATATTAGTACACATCATCCCTAAAAGTTTCAACCTGCTTTATTGAGAATTGCAACGATCTCTCACAGAATGATTGCAAAACCACTATCCTGAAAATCTTAACAGCTTCCTGCTGCTTCCCTGGGAGTACCAAGACCCCCTTTTAACACCTGTCTGGGAAAGTACAAGGCTGCGAAAACAATTAGCTATTAACCAACACCTACCTACCTTGTCAAAGAAATTGCTTTTAGATAGGAGTAGAATTACTGATTATTCCTGTCCCATATATATGCATGTGTGTTCTATAAGCCAGGAGAGAAAGCCCTTCCTTCCTTCCTTCCTTCCTTCCTTCCTTCCTTCCTTCCTTCCTTCCTTCCTTCCTCCCTCCCTCCCTCCCTCCCTCCCTCCCTCCCTTCCTTCCTTCCTTCCTTCCTATGGAGTCATCATAAAGTTCAGGCGTCTGTTTCCCAGTTTGTATGGAAAGAGAGAATCCCATTTTCTTTAATTGCCAACTAGCAAATACAGCTTTTACGCGGCCCAACTATTACTGTTATTATTGTTACTGTTGTTGAGAGAAGCTCTGCCAGAGTACTCACCTTGCAGTCCTACTGTTCATTGTTGAGTTTCCAGGCGTGTAACAACAACACGCTCCCAAACCTTTGGAAAATTTCAGTTTTCTAAGAAGCCCCTTTTCTCACTTCTCTATTTTTCCCTCATCATCCTCATTCACTTTTCTATTTCCCCCTTACTTTCCATGTTGTTGTTGTGTGTGTGTGTGTGTGTGTGTGCTTTAGACAAGATCTCACTATGTAATCCAGGTTAGCCTCGAACTCACAGAGGTGGGCCTGGCTCTGCCCCCTGAGTGTGGAATTAAAGATGTGCACCACCATGCCCAGCCTTCATTCTCTTTTTAAAAGGCCCAGTCACATTGGCATAACTGAATGAAGCTCAGCTTTTCCTACAACTGTCAATACTTACTAAATAAAAATCTTTCTCCTCTTCTGTAACTAATGTTTGGCTTTGTTTATCTTTAGTAATATCATTAACTAGAATTCAATATTTGTTTATGGTTCCTTTTATTTAGTTGTCGTATTGAAAGGAAATTGGCATTGCTAAAGTAATGTGCCAATCTTAAATATGTAACTAGATCATTTTGGCAAATGCAATCTCAAATATATTAAGACATAGACAGCTGGGTGGTGATGACATGCGCCTTTAATTCCAGCACTCTGGAGGCAGAGGCAAGTGAATCTCCTTGAGTTTGAGGCCAGCCTGATCTTTGAAGCAAGTTTCAGGACAGCCAGGACTTTACACAGAGAAACCCTGTCTTGAAAAACAAAACCCAAAAGTTAATAGACCAGACCAAACACAGTGGTGCACCCAAGTTTCATCATGGTAGTATCCCAGCTCCTAGCATTGTGCCCAGCCCACCACGGGCTCTTTTCTGCTAGCAAAGGATTGAACAGCTGCAAATGTACAGCAGCCCATAGACCTATCTAATCCTTCACCAAGGCAGAAAACAGGTCAGCAGGTCACCTGACCCAAGGACAATGCCCTTTTCCCAGAAGCTGCCTCTGTGAGACAAAGTCCAGGATGAGCAAACAGATCTGCAAGGTCCCCTTCGTCTGGTCAGGGTCACATCCCACCCCAGGTCAAAGAGCGACCTAACCGAAGGTCTGCGTCCAGTGTGTTTGGTTTGTTGGGGACAGGGAGGGTTTGCACATAAAAGCCGAGCAACTTCTTGGACAAGCCAGATCTCTGGGGACGCTCCCCTCGGAGAGCTCTGCTTCCACTGCCTTTTATCTCAGGGGCATGTCTATCGTTACATGATGGATGGGCTTTGGAACCTGAAAGCTAAGTTCAAGTGTGGCTGTCCCAGAGACATGTGACTAGAATTTAGAAAATAAAGAACAACCGCGCGAGACTTCCAGAGGCCTCGGCTGTGAAAGGGTGATGCTCAGATTCCTAGAGGCCTCGGCTGTGAAAGGGTGATGCTCAGACTCCCAGAGGCCTCGGCTGTGAAAGGGTGGTGCTCATCTATAGCTTCCCAAGCAGCGGCACTCCGGCTGGATGGGAGCAGGACAAAACTGACTTCTGTTTTTCTTTCCAAATTTGGCAAGAAGGTCCAGAGAAATGATGCAATAAGCCTGGAGCAATGGTCACCTACTGTGCCTCCCTCAAGCTTCCCGCACAGAACTGTATTACCAGCATTGGCACCATCAGAACCATGTGTTTATCTAGGTGTCATGGCACTTCTAAGATGCCAACTGTATCTGTGGCCAAAGCATGACTGATTAAAGAATTTTGGAAGAAAAGCTTCATTAAGTTTAGAAATCTGGGGACTGGAGAGATGGTTCAGAGGTTAAGAGCTCTGACTGCTCTTCCAGAGGACCTGGGTTCAATTCCCAGCACACACATGGCAGCTCACAACTGTCTGTAAGTCCAGTTCCAGGGGATCTGACAACCTCACACAGACATATATTCAGGCAAAACAGCAATGCTCATAAAATAAATAAGGTCAGCTTATGAGACGGGTGCTGCCTGGTGCTAGCACCAGAAGGAGCTGAAGCATTTGAAGACTTCACAGTCCTCCTTGGCTGAGTTCAGAGACATACACAACAGCAGTGTGGAGTCTGGCAGGGGCTTTCCAGAGTCCTGAACTGCCAGTCTCATAAGAAGAAGGCTTTAACTGCCATGGGTTTCAAAGACATTAATTTTTATATATGTGCACATATGAGGGTATGCCATGTGTGTGCAGGTATCCACAGAAACCAAAGGAGGGTGGCAATTCCCTGTAGTTAGAGTTACAGGGGATTGCAAATCATCCGACAAAGCTGCTGGAAACCAAACTTGGGTCCTCTGGAAAAGACCACACACTCTTATTGATGATCCATCTCTCAGCACACACCGCCCCTCCTTACTATAGACAAGGTCTTATAGCCCAGGCTGGCTTCTAACCGCCTATGTAGCC